ACTGAAGTACATCTGATTGCATTTAAGCCATTTCTTAAGGGTTTTTAGTTTTTTTTTTTTTTTGTTGTTTTTTTAAGAAAAGTTTTGAAGTGGTTAAAAGAAACCTTCATCTTAAGCAGGAGATGAAAAAATAATCATGGTTTCAGGATCTTTAGAATTCCCATGAACATAAACTAATGTAATGATAAATGACTTTTAGGAAAGAAGGAAAAGAAGACTTATTTAAGGTCTTGACCTATTTTACATTTTGAAGTAATACATATCAGTTATGTAAATCTTATGATCATATCTTTGTATTTATGACTCAAAGAAAAGTAAATTGGTTTGAAGTAAGTTGCCTCCTGTGGCTCAGTGGTAAGTGTGAGGGCCTATAACTGAGTTTTGATACTTGCATTGGGCACACCACAGATAGCCAGCCCATTTGTGTAACTTTGTGCTTAATAACAAACAAACAAACACATTTAAGTAAGCCATACAGATACATTATTTCAAATAATACCATGAAATAATACGAGTTGCCATACGTTAATTGCACCTTCTGATCCCGTAAGGGTCTTGTCTCTAAGGCACTAGGACAATCTGCTTATGAAGCTTGATTAGTCCATCCCCATCTGTTTTATAGGAAAAACAAATAAATTTACAGATAGCACTAAAGATTCTACATATAAACTGAACAAAGTCAAGGTTAGTCAAATTGTTTCTTTTACTCATAAGATTGATTCCTATAAAAATATTAAGCAATGTTTTGACTTGCATACTTATTGTCACCTGCCAAGTAGAATTAATGGGCAACAGCCTCATGTAGCTAAGATAGGTGGGATGTACTATAGGAAATAGCTTTTATTAGAAGTTAATAAGTAGTTGTTTTTCTCAACTGTGTTAATTTTAATTTTTCTATGATACTATTACACTAAAATAAGTCAACCGCAATGGTTAGTTCTATAACAAAACAGTTTACATTTATTTCCATGACTGGAGTAAAAACATTGTGATCAGATCTCAAAGTGACACTAAGATTTTATGCTTTTAAGTACTTACTCCATTTAGAATTTAAAAAATAGCATTTCTATTCTTTAATATACAAATATCATCCAAGGATTTCTGTTTTTTTCAACTTGTTAGACCTTTCTTTTCGTAAACAATTTTTTTTTGATGTGGTAATATTTTATATTGCTTTATGTTTAAAGATACATTTCACAAATATAAATCAAAGAACATTTTCAGTTATAATAACTTGTTCACATTGTTTCTTAAGTAAATATTATTAACAAGCTTTGTATCTGTAGATGTGCTCTGTCTGTAAGCCACCTACATATGAAGGTTGTTAAGTTGAAGGAAAACAGTCAGTCAAGAATCCTTAGATAAAAAGGTGAAAAACTGATATCACAGTACGTACTTATTAACTTTGGTTACATAATAGTTTACTAGAGTACAAACAAGCAACAAAAAGTGAATGAGAAAGTTTTAAAATTTTGAAGTGAAAAACAAAAAACTTCATTTTTTAAAATTAGAATCTCTTAAAATGAGTAAATAATAATAATAACCCAGTCATAAAATCAAACATGTAATGTTAGAATTGATTTCTTTGAAAAATTATGTCAGAATATTATTTGATGATCAGTCTCTCGTATATTAACAATTAATTCTGCTTGGTTTTTGAATGTAACACTTTCATCACTTGAGGTAAACAGTTTTAGTTTAAGGAGGTATGATGTGAGAACAAACTGATCATATTTTTTCAAGTCATTTGCCACTTACAATCTGTTAATTACTAACTAGAAAATAGTAACTATAGTTTTGTAAGCTATATAAGCACACTTAGCAAAATAATATGTAAACAATTTTTAGGTAATTTAAAAATATATTCCTGTAGGTTTTATACCATTAAGGAGGAAGTACATGTTAAAGAGTAGGCTTCTGTATACCTTATTGGAGGTGACTATGCCTAAGAATCCATGTGAAAACATCATTAAAGTTATTGTAATAGATAATTTGGTGATAGCAAACACCAATGTACTATAAGAATAAAGGTAATTTAATTTAAGGTAACCAGTAAAATATTAATCTTTGCTTTTCATCTTTGTTATGTGATAAACAGAATTTTTGTCATTGTAAATCCTCTTAGATATAATCATATCTTTATTGGTATTTTTACTCTTGTAGTTTAAACATAATTTTCTAATAAGTGATCTTTGAGCTTTTGCTGATCAGTGTCTTGGTTACATTTAATACGTTTATTGAAAATGTATTCAACTCTTTCAAAAGGTACTGAAAAAAAAAATGTCTCCACAGACACAAACTGTAGATAAAATGTAACTTACCAATTATTATGGTGTGACTCCTTTTCTAAGCTGCCAAAGCATGATTATAATTAATTATACTTGTCATAAGACATTAGTGTTAGGCCTATTATATTTTGCAGTAAGCTATTATTCTCAAAACTACATTCACATTCCAGTTTACTAAAAATTGGAGTTCAGTGCAAAATTTATTTGATGTGTAATGGTTTGTCTTTTATTTTGGATGATGAGCTATTTTGTGTCTAAAACACCTGGCATTTTACTATTAACCCATTGACTGCAGCTTCTCTAATTAAAATGTGCATAGCATTTTTTGCAAACAATACACCATATATGACACACTCACATTCAACTGTTGGAGGTGGGTCGTACCCTATATGGAGAATCAGCAGTCAATGGTTTAAATGTGTGCATTGTAGTTTTCTTGTTGGCGTGTTTCACAACTTTCTGAATTGTATACAGCTTACACTATCACTTATAAAGAAAAGTGAGCATTCTGAAGATCAGAAGCTAATGAATATTATGGAACTATATGAACAATGGAGAATGCTTTGTAATGAACCTTGTTTCTTAAGTGTTATATTTATCTAGTGTCTTTTTGAATTTGGTTGTTGTTAGATCATTATAAAATAGGATTTAGTGTTTTAATGAAGTTAAACATTTTAAATTTTTAAAGTACTGTGGGCTTTTTTCCTTTTACACTGGAGATACATTTCTTGCATGTGTGCATGTTTTTTTATGAAATTGAAAATATTCTAAAACACCATACTTTATTAAAACAATGATGGAGATTTTTTTCAATTGAATATTAAGTGTCCTTATGTATTTGACTCAAAAGAAATATCATTTATTAATATTAGAAAAGAATGTAAAGCTTTCATATAATTAAAAAACATGTATGGTGGCATTCAGTATAATTTACTGATTATGTTGTAGAATTTAACATCCATTTTAAGTTTTGTTGGGTTTTAGAATAACATGTATATATGCTCATGTGTGTTTTTTATATTACAAAAAAAATTATGTTGAATTCACATGGTGTAATTTAATGGGTATTTGTATAATATTAATAAATTTCAAATACTTTTAATTTTATAATATTTTTATGGGAATCAAAATAAGTATGGGAAAGGTCATTGTTATTAGAAAAGTTTTACTATTTTTTTATGTTTCCTTAAGTTTTGGGCTTAAAGCCCTGTTAAAACAGTAATGATTTTGTTGTACTTGTTCTTAAAACTGTAGTTTATTAAACATGAATTAACTGCTTAAAGTAATTGTTTGTTGGGCTTAGTCTTGTTGTATTCTATGTTTATTGTTCTATAGTATGGTTAATTTTTCTTACCTGATTGAAGAAAAGTAAAGACAAACTTAATTTTCTTGCATTGATGGTAAAATAGGAAATAAAAGTTTCCATAAAAAGTTTAATTACAAACAATTCTTTCTGACAAAACAAGATACAATTTTTGAAATTTGAAAAAAGGAGAATATCTTGGTAGGAGTGTAACCGTCCTTGAAATAAATCCTGTTCATATTAGCTGATTATGTGGTTGTACATGAAAATCAATAAATTCCTATGAAACATACTTACTGTTTTATAGCATAGTCATGGTTTGTCTTAATTTGCTTACAATCAACATTACAAGCTGAAACAGCAGATTAAAATGATACATCAATGTTTCAATAAGCTGTTTAAAACATTAACTGTATCATATACAAAATAGTTGCCAATATCTGCAGCTTAATCATGTTTAATATATTTAGTTTTGTAGCAGTAGACAGTATTTATTGCCTTATTTTTTAATCTAGTAACTAATTTTCAAATATTGGCATTTTTTGTTTTTGCTCTTTACATTGCTTTTGTAACACAACACTCACCCTTTTTAATTATCAGTAGTGTCTCGTGTTTGAATTATTGATAAGTACACTAAGTACTATCAATGCTTCTCATATATAGAGATTAAATTATGCTTAGTCTGTCTTAGATGAAACAACTCTCACAATATGGACAATCTTTATTATACACCACCTTTATAGAAATGGTTATGGATTAGTTGTTGCCTAATGGTTAGTGTGTTGGAGGTCTGTGGATCAAAAGGTCCAAGGTTCATAGCACAATGCTGGTGAACATGCTCCAAACTTTCAGCATGGGTGAGTTATAAGAGTGGCAGTCTGTCCTATTATTCATTTCAAAACACTTATAACAGTGGCTACTACTGACTGGTTGCATTCCCCCATGGTCAGTAATTTGAAATTAGGGACAGCTATACCTGATTCATAGAGGTCTCTTACCTGGTTGAAAATACCATTACCAGAAATTGTTATTAGTTCAGATGCTTATGAAATAACACAAACAGTACCCTTTATGACCCCTTTCTCACAGCTTCAATGGACAAATTATTCATTTCTCTTAAAACATTTTCTGACTGACTTTCATTGCAAAATTCATTTGTGTATTTTTAAGTTATTATTGAAATACTGTTTTTAAATGTTTGGTGCAAAATATGTCAAATATAACAATAACTGTAGTTTATCATCCTAATATAAAGATGATGCTTTAATTCTGAGGTTGTTAAGAAAAAAAATTGGAAAATTTAAAAATCAATATGGCTCCTGGGCCAAATAATGTTTCCCCAAGGGTTTTGAAGGAGGTTAATGATTGGATATGTAAGCCACTTGCTACTATTTGTTTTTGTAAGTCCTTGAATAGTGGGCAGGTGCCAAAGGATTTAAAGTTAGCTAATGTCATTACTCTTTTCAAAGGAGGTAATAAAAATTGTTCCAAGAATTATAGGCCTATTAGTTTTACATCAGTTATGGGCAAAGTTTTGGCAAGTATGATACAAGATGCTTTGCAAAGTCATTTAACAATGTTTAGTATTTTATTGGATAGTCGACATGGTTTCACTGAGAGAAAATATTGCCTTACAAATCTTTTGACATTCTTTGAAAAAGTTGCTGCTTACGTAGATGAGGGTAAGGGTGTATATGGATTTTCAGAAAGCATTTGACAAGGTGCCATATAAAAGGCTTGTAAAAAAATTATAGGTATGGGAGTTAAGTTAGCTAATTGGGTAGAAGAGTGGCTGGATTGAAGAAAACAGAGGGTTGTTATAAATGGAAATCAGTCAAACTGGATTAATGTCACAAGTGGGGTACCTCAGGGCTCAATCTTAAGACCTTTGCTCTTTTTGATTTACATCAGTAACATAGATGAAGCAATGGTCAATAAATTACTCAAATTTGCCAATGATATTAAGGTATTGGGTGTTGCTAGCTGTGAAGAGGATGCTGCTGCTTTAAAAAAGGATTTAGACTATTTAGTGAATTGGGCAAATAAATGACAGATGGGTTTTAATTATAATAAATGCAAGATAATGCATGTAGGTTATCATAATTTGGATGGGAATAACCTTAATAGTGTCATAAAAGGGATATTGGTGTAATAGTTGATCAATCTCTTAAGCCATCCAAGTAGTGTGCTGTTGGTAGTGGTAGGGCACATAGGATTTTAGGTTATATCTACAGAAATACTGAATACGAGTTTAAGGAGGTTATAATTTCATTGAATAGGTCATGAGTTAGGCCACATTTGGAGTATTGTGTTCAGCCTTGGACAATTTTTTTTTTCACACTTAGTGGCAAGAATAGTAGGACTAGGGTGCACAAAATAAATTTTCGCAAGGTCGGAGTCGTCTTCAACTAAAACAGTCTTATTTTTCTAACGGGGTGGTTGGCCTCTGAAACGGGTTTCCTTCGGATATTGTGGAGGTAGTAAAGTTAAGTGAGTTTAAGAAAAAGAATGATAACTACATGAATGATAAGGGCTGACTTTAATATCTTTTTTTTAATTTATTTGTTTAATATACACCTGGAAAAAAGTTAAGCACCCCCAAATATTTTTCAGGATTGCTTATTGAAAATAAGGTTTAA